AGGGACGGGAGGGTCTACCTGAGAAACACCTGAAGGAGCAGGACCTGGCGCAAGGAGGGGGTCTACCTGGGGAGGACCTGGGGCGAGAAAGAGCGGCGGGTGGGGGCGAGGAGCAGTGCGGTAGGGGAAGAGGCGGTAAAAGGGGACCGACTCGTCAAAGGTGACGTCCTGAGACGCAAAGACACGGCGCGAGGCGGGGTCGTAAAACTGCCAGCCAGGCGCGTCAGGGACAAAGCCAAGGAAGACGCAAGGAATGGCGCGAGGGGAGAGTTTGTCCGCAGTGGTATCGCGGACAAAGGCACGGGCACCCCAGACCCAGAAACGCAACGCGTCGCCAGCCTTCCCCATCCACAACAGTGTGGGCGAGGTCTCCGGCAAGGAGACACGGGGCTAGAGGTTGAGCTGATGCGCGGCGTACCGGACCGCAAATGACCACAGAAAATGGGGGGCAGCCGCATGGATCATGGAGGTACGAGCGACCTCCATGACCAAGCCAATGCGGCGCTCAGCAACCCCATTCTGCTGCGGAGAGGCCGGAAGCGTGAAAGTCTGGCGGATGCCGTGCTCTGCACAAAAGGTCGCCAACAGGTCTGAGGAGAACTCACCACCTCTGTTAGAGTGCAGACGCAGGACAGGAAAGTCCGACTGGAACCGCTCGCGGAGCTGGAGACGAGCAGCGCGGATCCAGGGGATCAAAACATCAGGGACATCCCCCTTGCGCTGCAAGGGGAAGACCGTGGTGTAACGCGAGTAGTCATCGACAACCAGCAGAAAGTACCGCTCGTGGCCCTGTCCACGGACGCAGGCTGGGCCCCACACGTCCAGGTGGAGAGTCTGCAGGGGAGCCTCTGTGGGAGGGAACGAGGAGGAGTGAGGAGCGGCGCGCTGCCGCCCCTCGACGCAAGGAATGTAGGGCGGCGCAGGCGAGGGAGGGAGGGCAGGCAGAGACCTGGGAAGACCAGAGACTAGGAAGCGAGAGTGCATGCTACGCAGGCGAGGTAGGGAGGGGTGACCAAGGCGGTGGTGCCACAGGAGAGTGTCGTGCGACAGCCGGCGACACTCACACTGGGTAGCTACCTGAGCAGACGCGTGTAACTGGGGAGACAAAGGGGCGGAGCGTGACGCAGTGGTGAGGTTGTACAGACTGGACCCTGGCGCACGAGGGAACGTAGCCAGGTGGCGGCCGGTCTCGGAGCACGTGCAAATCGCCACACGCTGCCGGCCAGGGGTGAAGGTGTCAACCCCCGCATCCTGGAGGATAGCGTTGCTCACCAAGTTCGTAGAGAACGAGGGGAGGTGGAGACCAGACAGCTCACCAGACGGGACCGCCGGACACGGAAGCACGGTGGAAGACCGTGCAAGCACTGGGCCCCCAGAGGGGTCAGCCAGTGAGACAGGAACAGGTGCAGGGAGGGGAGTGACTCTGATACTGTCGCGAAAGAAACAGCGGGAAGCACCAGAGTCAAGTGTAAAAGTGTGCAAGGCCTGTGCAGGCGCAATACCAGGGGGAGCAGACTCACAAGCACCTAGTGCTACAGGCGCTATACCAGGGACTATACCAGGATCCGGCGGCACACACAAGTAGCAGTCACCCTCAACACTAACAGACAATGCATACACAGCAGCAAGAATAGCCTCATAGTCAAGATCAAAGATAGGTAGATCACGCCTAAGTAGCTCTGCCCAGTTGGGGAACTCAGGAGCATCAGGAAACTTGGCGCGCCAGGCGTCGCCAAGCCGAGCAAAGCAGCGCTGCTCAGTGTGATAACCTGTGCACTGGCGACCAGTGCGGGGACCTGTGCGAATGATATAGGGGCAGCGACCAGGACCCCCAGAAGCCCCACGCCCGGCATACCAGTCAAGAAGCTGCTGGGAAGTGGGGGTCTGGCGCTGACGCTGCTGCTGCTGCTGCTGCAGGTGCGGCTGCTGCTGGCCCTGACCACCACTACCACCACCGCTCCCTCCTCCCCACCGCCGCTACTACCCCCTCCACCGCTCCCAGTGCCTCCGCTGCCCCCACCACCACCTCCACCGCCTCCACCCCCACGACCACCCCCACCACCTCCACCTCCCCCGCCGCCTGCACCATTGCCACCTCCACCGCCACCCCCACCGCCCCTGCCACCCCTGCCGCCCCTGCCGCTGCGACGCTTCCCACTAGGAGCGGAAGCAGCTCCGACCTCCTCAGCACCAAGGTAGTCGTGAGCAGCAGCTGCGGAGGCGTAGGAGGGGGAGCACCCCTCAAAGAGGGGAGAGCGAGGAGTGCCACGAGCAGCACCTAGAGCGAGGATGTTCTTCTCTGCTGCGAGGAGGTGCTTCTCGAAGTCGTCGACAGTGAGAGTGGGGGGGTCTAGCGCGAGGAAGTGGTCCTTGACTGAGCTAAGAGTGTCAGGGAGGCGGGTGACGAGGAAAGAGAGACTGAAGTACATCGGGGGGGGGGGGGGGGGGGTTAGCGGCGCAGAACTGGCTGAAAGGGCGGCACGAAAGCGAGTGTCAGTAGCGCACAGGTGGGAAATGAGGTCCTCAGCAGTGGTGAACGAGGAAAGGTCGGGGAACAGGTAGTGTAGCATGAGCCGACCTATGGCTGCAGTGGCCGGGGAGGAGTAGCGCGCAACTATAGCGTCGTACAGCTTCTTAACAGTTTTGTGCTGGCTGAAATGCGCGCACTCAGTAATCGGCAAATGGTTCCTAATAGCTAGGCGTGCAGCAGCATCACAAGTTTGCCATTGCGAGCGGTCGAGAGCAGGAGCATCGGCAGCAGGAGCAATGGCTGTGCCAGACACGTAATCGAACAGTGAAACGCCCTCTTTGGCATCGGTCAGAAGGAACAGTTGGAGATCATCTAACCACACAGCAAACTCTATGGGACGACCGTCAGGCTCGAACGCGAGAACGTTAGGCGTCGTCATAATGGCAGCAGGTAGAGGTAGGAGGCAGCAGGCAGCAGACAAGAGGCAGCAGGCACCAGGCCACAAGCAAAGACAGAGGCAGCAGGCAGCAGGCAGGAGACAGCAGGCAGCATGCAGCAGGCAGGAGCGGCCGCACGCGAGCTCCTAAGGCAGCGCGTTAAGCAGCTGCGGGCCGCGCAGGCGGCCGACGCGACGCGCGGCGCAGTGGCGGGCCACACTGGCGACAGACGCGGCGCGCGGGGCGTCGGCGGGCTGCACGCGACGGCGGGCTACGCGCGGCGTCGGGCTTCGGGGGCTCTACGCGGGCTGCGCGGGCGACGCGGGCCGACGGCCAGCGCTACAGCAGTGGCGCGCGCTAAAAACAGTGGTGCGCGCGCTAGTAGGCGAGGCGCGCGCGAAAAAAAAAAGTGACTCGCGCTGCAGCCGAGGCGCACGCGGGCAGTAGGCAAGGCAGGCAGTTAGGTGGGCCCGATTCGTAGGTCCTAGAGACCTTCTGCTCTAGTTACCATGTTAAGAACTAAGGCAAGAATGAGTAAATTAGGTGAAGGTTTGGGTACAAGACTAGGGTATCGAGAAAGTTTTTGTACCCCCTAAGGCTATCCCCAATACAGCCTAAATAATGATATGCATATATTTTGACAAAGTGTACTTGAGGAGCCGGGGTTTCCGCGATATACACGCACTTGCGTAGCGGAGGGGGCTTCTTGAGGGGAGGGGGGGGGGGGGAGGGGGGGGGGGGGGGGGGGGGGGGGGTAGTGTAAGGAATTTTCTCGATATTCCTTAGCGCACCCTGCAACATTGCGTACAACAGCAGCCGTTGTTCGCCCGTTACTGCTAACGGGGCTTCGCCGACTTCGCGCGCACTGTTTTCCCAAACCTCACACTGCTGGACCGGCCGTGTCGGCCTACGCTTCGGGACTAGCCCGAGCCTCGCTTCCAGCATAGCACTAGCTAGCTCGCACGCACCGTGTTACCGTTTGCATGTTTCGCGTATAAATGTTCGCTCATGCCTTCACTCACATTTTGTACTCGTTTGACACCTTAGTGCAATTCTCGCTACTTCGATTCATTGCACCTGTAACAGCTGGTCTTAAGTAAGATATGGCCAAGAAAGTTGAAAGTTTGGAGACTAATTGAAGAAAAATGAGTTGATGGGCTGCATCGTAGAACTCCACCTCGAAGCGCTCTGCTAATAGTGAATTACGAAAAGACAAAATGAATGTTGTGGCTGCCAGGATGTTGCGTTGCACGCCCGGGAAATGCTGTGGCAGCTAGGGGGAAGTAGTTTTGTCGATTCCGTTTCCGTTTTTCAGTTTTCACCTGTTCAGGCGTCTGTTCAATCTTTGGTGGTGGATCGAACGAAAGCGCAGATTCTTCGCACCTGAATGATCTGCCTACACTCTGTGAAGTGAAATGTCACGAAATATTCACCCTGCCCAATAGTGACTTCTGTACAGAAATTACTGCGTGGGGTTGTGCAAGGTTTCAGAGAACTTGTTTTTCCCCTCGACAGATTGCCTATTGCGAACAGTCGGAATGGGCAGGCTGATCCACTCTTGTTGATGGCCGATGATGAATTTTTAATGGAGCTAACTTGCCCGAGTGTGGACATCTCTGGAAAACGGTGGGCATCGCTGGAAAAAAGTGGGCTCTATGCCCGTTTCGTTTAACTATCTGCGCATCGGATGTAACCTGCTGGCCGGCTCCGGCGCTCCTGGGGCTGCGACGAATCTCGAGGAAAAGGCGCCAAACATGTGACTCCGCTGTGACAGAATTTTGCAGGGGTCTTCCGCACCCGCACCACACCACTCCCGCCCGAGTCCCCTGGCGGGATTCCAACCTTGCCCCTCCCCCGTACCTCCCGCAAACACCACACAAGCCACAACAGTGCCTCTCCCGAACCAGCCCTGCCAACCAGCTCCTGCCTCACAGCAGTTACTGTACCTGCTCTGACTCCTGAGTTCTCACCAGCCCAATTGCCCAAGCAGTATATCAGTGAGCTCTCTCCACACCTCTAAGATCAAGCTGCAAGGTATATTTCTCATACAAGCAAGACTCTCCTGAACCATTTAGAAGACAGAGTTCTCCATCATGGCTCGCTACATCGTCGCTAGCCTGCTCGTTCTCCTCGCTGCAGCGTCTTTTGTAGACGCAGGCAACGGTAACGACAATAGAAAGGGTAACTCGGGTAACCCGCCGGGCAAATCGGGTAACGCGCCGGGGAAGGCGAAGAAAAGAGGCCACCTGTGTGTCGATGGCTGCGACTACGAGAAGGGCTCCTTCGACTACTGGAAGGTGCGTCAAGCTGCAGTATCATATATTCTGCCCCGTTGTCGATGGAAGACCAAGCGTGACGCTTAAATCTTCCTCATGTTGATTCAGATTATACAAATGTCATTGTCCCTAAGTGAACTCGCCGTATTCTCTCTTTCCCTTGGCTCCTTTCCCGCAGGTCCCCGAGTACAAGGAGTGCATGTCCAAGGCCACTAAGGATACCGCCCCGTGGTGCGCGGCCGGCGCAGTGAACGCGAAGGACTGCTGCGACCGCTGCAAGAATCCCGGCACCACCCTGGACGGGAAGCCCTACGAATGCAAATACTGGGTGCACATCCCGTGAGTACTAAGCAGTTGCGGCATTCTTTATCGAGGCTGTCCATGTCTTTGTTCGTAAGGGTAACGCCATGCGTGGGCCTCCGTGACCTCGGGTAAACACCGTCATAACCTGTCTGATTGTTCGCTACGAGCTCATCTCGGTGCGAGTCCACTCCTGTGTACTGAACTCATTTCGGGCTACTTGTCTAATCGCTGCTCCCTTGCCCTGTCGCTCTGTTCGACGCTTTGTTTCGTCGCAATCGCAGATCGTCGCCCAGCGAGGGCAAGTGCAACGGCAAAAACTGCGGCAAGTGCCTTCTCTTGCCGAACCTCGATTCCCTCATGCCCACTAAGAGCGACAAGAAGGGCTGCGGCGGAAAGAAGGTGCGCATCGGCAAGAACTGCCCCGTCGCCAATGACGACCCGCACTTCGTGGGCGCGCACAGCACGCGGTTCGACTTCAACGGGCTGCCCGAGAAGAACTTCTGCCTGTACACGGACCGCGCGGTGCACGTGAACATGGGCATGCGCGGGTACCTCGACTCGCGCTCCACGCAGAACGCCGCCCTCGTCGTCAACGGCTCCGCCGTGCGCACCTGGATCCGCCAGCTAGCCGTCATGTGGACCGACGACAGCGCCGACAGCGACAACACTGTGTCCGCTAAGCCCGCCGCCCACTCGCTGGTGCTGACGGCACGCGACGGCAAGGAGCAGCTCCGCGGCGAAGCCGGCTTCCTGGCGTTCGCCGAGATCGACGGCACGCCCCTCCCCCGCCTCGCTCCCGGTGAGACCCGCAGCCTCGCCGGCGGCAAGGTGTCGCTTGAGTTCGTGGGAGAGGAGAAGACCGGCCCCTACGACGTGGACCACTACTACCTGCGCATCGACGGCCTCCTGGAGTTGGACCTGAAGCTGCGCCCCGCGCACCCTCTGCTGCAGACTCCTGACGACGCGCAGGTGCATATCAACGTGATGTTTACTGACGCGAGCGCTAGCAGCAGTGTGCACGGCGTGATGGGGCAGACGTACCGCAGCGGCAGGGAGGCGCGCACGGTGGAGTTCTCTCGGCTCGCTGCCATGCTGCACCACCCCGTCTCCGCAGATGGCGCGGAGGGCAAGGGCTTCCTGGACGGGCAGGTGAAGGACTATGAGACCAGTGCCGTCACCGCCACTGACTGCCGCTTCTCCGCCTTTAACGGTCAGGAGCTGCCCCTGTCTGCGTAAACGCTAAGAGACAGTGTTTGGACGCGTCATGGAACCACGACAATGTTGTATTCTAGGTGACTTCCGAAGTGGCTGATGCATGTAAAACTACCCAAATTGTGACTGCCTAAGGGTGAAAGTAGATGAGCATCTGTCTGTTTCCTGGGACGATTGCAAGCAAAAGTGTGACTGAAATTCACTGTAAACAGTTCAAAGCGAGAACTCATGTATGAATGCCTCACTATGTCAAAATGGATGGTGTTTAGTGCAGTGTCGCTCTGATTCTTTTGGTCAACTTACCTCTTCAAAGGAATCTACAGATGTTATACAGCATCCCAAATTGCTAAACTCAGCACCAGAAACAGAAAATGGAGAGAGATATCTTTTAGACAATTTTGGCAAAAGCACAATTATAATCCTCGTTCGTCAACAACGGCTCGTCAGGAAAGGGACCAGTGAGTCTGTGGTCAACAGCTAGAGGTGTGCGCTGTACGGTGGAGTGCTGAAGCCCGAACCGCTGAAGGACCTGCTGCACCATGTGTGACTGTGAGAGTGTAATGGTGCGAGCGGCTCTGTCCCTGGTGATCTGCAGGCCAAGGTAGTGGCGCAGCTCACCAAGATCAGTGCACGTGTGTCTCTTCTGCAGTTCGGACTTCACGTCTGCCAAAGCAACCCTGTCCGGAGTGGCGAAAACGAGGTCGTCGACGTAAACCAGAACAAAGAACGGTGTGGAGCCACGACGAACGAACAGCGACGGGTCGGCAGAAGACGGCTGGAACCCAAGGTCAGAGAGGGTAGAACACAGAGTGTCGTGCCACTCACGAGGGGCCTGGCGAAGACCGTAAACAGGTCGCCTCAGCCTCCACTGGGTCCCAGGAGGGAAGGTGCCAGTGAAGGCCGAGGGACGACGCAACCAGACCTCCTCGTGTAGGCTGCCCTGAAGGAAAGCAGTGGAGAAGTCGAGAGAGTGTAACTCGTAGTCTCTCTGTGCTGCTACGTGTAGTAACACCCGAAGAGTGGTCATCTTCGGGGTAGGTGCGAAGGTCTGAAAGAAGTCAACTCCCTCGCGCTGACTGAAACCTCTAGCCACGTAGCGCGCCTTGAAGACCGGGGGAGATCCCGGTGGCCGCTTCACCCTGTAGATCCACATGCCGTCGACTACGTTCGCCCCAGGGGGGGGAACCTCATCGACGTAGGTGCCTGTGGATCTGTAGGAGGCCATCTCTGCGTCCATGGCAGCTCTCCACTGAGAGGCCCAAGGCCCTGACACTGCCTCAGCGTAAGTGCGAGGAGTCGGAATGTCAAGGGCGTCGGGGTCACCCTCAAGGGCGAGGAGCATGGCACAGAGATGAGGGGAAGCGGCCGCCGGGAACTCTAGCTCAAACTGCCTGTCCTCTAGGGCGTCACAGCCAAGGGCAGACACACCCCCGACGGCCAGAGGACTGGTAGGAGGAGCAGCCACAAGCGTGGTGGCGTAGTCAAGGCGGCGGGTAGAGGCAAAGTCAGTAACTGCGGCAGTAAGAGCGGACACAGAGAACACAGAGGCACGAGGGTGAGTAACAAGAGAGGCGAGAACACGAGAGAGAACAGGACGGTACGTGCGGTAGTAGTCAGTGACAGGAGTAGGGAGCGACACAGTGAGGGCCGACTCAGGAGGAGACGGAAGCACAGACTGAGACGGACGAGGTGGACTAGAAAGAAGGAAGGCAGTACGAAGGTCAGTGAAGGGAACAGGAGACGAGGGACGAGCACGAGAGGAGCGACGAGTAGCCCAAGAACGAGACGGAGGAGGAGAGGACAAAGGCGGAGAACTGGGGAAAACAGCGGGGGAGGAGTCAGGAGGAGGAAACGTGGGACCGTAGACAGGAGGAGAGGCGGAGGAGGGAGGAGAAGGGGAGGGGAGACCAAGGGTCCGAAGACCCGAGACAGGAGGAGGAAGTGGCTGCTGCTGCTGCTGCTGCGACTGCTGCTGCTGCGGAAGCGGCTGCTGCTGGGACTGCTGCTCCTGCGGGTCCAGCTGCTGCTGCTGCTGCTGCTGCTGCTGCTGCTGCTCTGCGGCTCCAGCTGCTGCTGCTGCTCCTCCAGCCGCTGTAACTCCCTCTCCTCTCTCTCCAACGCCAGCTGCTCGTCACAGGCACGGCGAACACGGGCTTGGTGCCTAGTCGGGTAGGGGTGGGGGGGCGGAGTAGTGTCCGAAGCAGCGGTAGCTCCAGAGTCCACCCCCGAAGAACCAGGCGCACCACCCCCAGAGGCAGCACTAACACCAGCTCCAGACCCTGGCTCACCAGAACCCGAAGGAGGCGCACTCTCACCCCCAGTGTCCGCGCGACCAGCACCAGCTCCCGGACGACAAGAGTCCTCTGCACCCACCGGGTCAGCTCCAACTCCAGAACCAGAAACTCCAGCTCCAACTCCAGCTCCAACCCCAGCACCCCCAGAACCAGAAACTCCAGTGCCAACTCCAGCTCCAACTCCAGCTCCAACTCCAGCTCCAACTCCAGCTCCAACTCCACCACCCCCAGAACCAGAAACCGGTACAGGAACAGGCGCAGCACCAACCTCTCGAGAGCTAGCACCTGCGGCACGCTGCGAGGAGGACTGTGGGGAGGGAGGCTGTACCGGAGAGGCTACGGAAGGAGGAGGGGTAGCCTGGGACACACCCGACGGGGCTGGACCAGGGGGGGGAGGCTGTACCGGGGGAACAGGAGGGGGAGCGGCAGTCAGGAAGAGGGGGGGAGGAGGAACCTGGAGACCTCGACTGGGGTACCTGACGTAGTACGGAGTGGACTCCTCGAAACGGACGTCACGGGAGTCAAAGAACCGGTGAGAGGGAGGGTGGTAAAAGGTGAAGTCAGAGGAGTCCTCAGGGAAACCAAGGAAGACACAGGGGACGGCACGAGGCGAGAGCTTGTCCGCGGAGGTGTCGCGGACAAGAGCCAAGCACCCCCAGACACGAAACCGCGACGCAACACCAGGGGACCCTGTCCAAAGACTGGTCGGTGAAACCTCTGGTCGAGAGACGCGTGGCCAGAGGTTCAGCTGGTGCGCGGCGTACCTGACCGCGTAGGGCTACAGAAAATGGGGGGCACAGGCGTGAGTCAGGGAGGTGCGGGCGATCTCCATGACCAGGCCTATGCGGCGCTCAGCAACCCCATTCTGCTGTGGGGACTCTGGAAGCGTCCAGGACTGACGAATGCCCTGCTCGCGACAGAATCCAGCGAGAATGCCGGAGCGAAACTCACCCCCACGGTCGGAGTGGAGGCAGCTGACACGACGACCACGAGTGTCCTTGGTGGTGAGCAACCACCTGATCAGCGTAGAAGTCACCTCAGACTTCTTCGCCAGAGGGAACACTGTGGTGTAGCGGGAGAAGTCGTCAACGACCACCAGAAAATAGCGCTCACGCTCAGGGCCTAGACGAGGGGCGGGGCCCCAGACGTCCAAGTGAAGCGTCTCAAAAGGCTCGGTGGCCGGACGAAGGGAGGAGGAGTGAGGGGCGGCGCGCAGCCGACCCTCGACGCAGGGACCACATGGCGGCGCAAGCGAAGGCGGCAGCGACGGCAAGACACGTGGGAGGCCTAGGACAAGACGCTGACTAGACATAGCGCGCAGACGAGGAAGGGACGGGTGCCCCATCCGGTGGTGCCACAGAACGGTGGGGTGGGCAAGCGACCGGCAGGAGCACGACGCAGCGACTGGAGCAGACGTAGGAACCTGACACGACACAGACACCTGGGGGGACGAAGCAACCTGGTGAGACGCGGGGACCCGAACGGGGGGGGAAACCGGGGGCAGTGGCAGTAGGGGCGGCTGCTGGTGCGACCGCTGGTGCAGCATCTGCTGCTGCTGCTGCTGCTGCGGCTGCGGCTGCTGCTGGTGCTGCGGCTGCTGCTGCGGCGCACGCGGGCCAGTGTGAAGAGTGTAGAGACCTGAGCCCGGCTCAGCAGTAAAGGTAGCAAGAGGCTGGTAAGAGTCTCCGTCAACACACACCGCAGTCTCTCCAGAAGGCTCAAACCACACACCCACGTGCTAACTCACGAGGGGTCGCACGCCCACCAAGTTCCGGGAGAACGAGGGGACGTGAAACCCAGTGAGAGACCCGGAGGGAGCAGCAGGACACGGTAAAGTGGTAGTGTGACGTGCAGTGATTGGTCCCGTAGTGGGATCAGCCAAAGCCACAGAAACAGGCGCAGGAAGTGGTGTAAGTGTCGTGCTGTCCCGGAAGAAGCAGTGTGAGGCTCCAGAGTCCAGCGTGAACGACAGCGAAGCGTCCTCTGAGGTAGTCGCTGGTCTAGAGTCTACACAAGAACCTACACTAGCAACAGGCAACTGCGCAAGACTAGCACCTAAGCTAACAACACCAGAGTAAACAGAGTCAGAAACACTAGAGTCAACAACAGCATACATAGCATGAGGAGCACCAATCAGATCAACTAGCTGCTCAGCAGACATGCCCCACAGAGCGGAGCCGTAGCGCTGAACCAGAGGAAGCCAGTCAAGAGCAGGACCGCCAACCCCGTAGGCCAACCGGACCGTGTCATTGAGCTGAGCAAAGCACTGACCAGGGGGGTGAAAGCGGCCACAAGGGTGGCCCCGACAAGGACTTGTCAGAACCTGATAGGTGCAGGGAGGGTAAGAAGCACCGCGCTGGGGCTGACGCAGCCCAGACCCTGGAGCCAGCTGCTGACGCTGCTGCTGCTGAGGCTGGCGGGAGGAAAGGGGCTGCTGCTGCTGCTGAAGGTGCTGTTGACGCTGAGCCTGGTACCACGCCGCTGCTCCACCTAGCGGGGTCGGCAGTATAGGAGGCGACTGACGAGCTCGGGGGTCGCCGCCACCAGCAGGCGCAGTGGAGTCACCAGCCGCTGCACGAGGGGTCTCTCCAAACGCTGCACTCCCACCACCGCCAGTCGCAACAGCACCCCCACTCCCGCCACCACTCCCACCGCCACCCCCACTCCCTCCGCCGCCTCCACCGCCACCTCCACCGCCCCCGCCAGCTCCACCCGCGCCCTTGCCCCCCT